AATAAAATTGCTTTTGATGCCCCAAGCATTCCCTCACTATCACATCATATTCTCTATCCGCCTTCCTCACCTACACTCTACTGCCAGGGGTGCCGCCTATCATCATGTTCTCTTTCCATCTCTACTCACCTCCTCCTCCCAAGCAATTCAAAATCTAATACTATCATTCATATTTAAGTGGTAATAGCAGAAAACAAAAAAACCTTGATGGATAGTATTTCTGAGCTTCCATACATTCCAGCTTTGATGAAAACATAGCCAAAGAAAAGCATCTCTAATAGTGGAATTGTGAGCACTAGTAAGCTAAAGGACTGTCTATTCGGGGCAGGACTGAGCCTATGCCTCAGGGGAGCCCTAGTTGGATAGCCTTTCCCAAGTTTCAGTGCCGAGTTACAGAAGAGTGAAACACAAATGCAGTGCTTGATTAAACAAGGGCACGATGCTACAGGGACACATTTAGTCTCTCGAAGACACTTCTTGTGTATTTATTATGCCCCAGACACTCTTCCCAAGATTCAATAAAGGTGGCGACATACTCCTTGCCCCTGGGAGCTCAGGGTTCAGAGGTCTAAGATCCTTATTAATGCAAAACAAGAAACCTGCTGGTCACTAAGCAATTTCCTAGTGGATACACTCCCTAGTGGATCCACCCCCTAGGTCTCCACGGCCATGTTCAAGTGTCTAGCATGGCTGCCACTGCTCCCTTCTGGTGGTTCCTGAGGTCACAGGCAGGGAGAACATAAGAAGTGTTTCTAGAAGATCCAGCATCCCAAGGAAGGCCAGGGCAGAGCCTCGGAAGCAGCGGCATCCAGCCGTGAGCCCAGAAGTGGTGCAAAGGCTGAGGGACATAGGCATGCCAGCCATCCTTGGCCAGCCCACTCGAGAGAGTACAGCAACTTCAGAAGGTCCAGTGGGCAGAACCAGCGCAACTAAAGAGAGGCTAGCAGGCTGAGGGTTACCAGGACAAAGCACAGGTGAATCCAGCATTGCTGATGCTGGCCTTTTTGTGAGGGGCTGTGCTAAAGGAATAAAACTGACACCTTTCTGCAGAATATACAAATGGGAAATGTGGACCCAAGTCTGAGTGTCCCACCCAGCCTGGGCTTCAGCTCAGACTGTTGTAAACACATGACTTTCAAGAGACTGCCCTGCTCCCCTCCCCCAGGCCTAAAACTGGAGAGCTTGTGCACCCTCTCAAGCCGACTCTAGAGATATGTATCAACTATTGAGACAAGGCTTCTGGCCCCTCAGACCCCTGGGACCCCTTCCTAAGAGAGACAGAAGCAGAGGCCCTGCCACAGGTCACCTCCCTGTGCCTACCTCCAGTCCCGGGCAGAGACTGTGGGACATTTTGCGGTCACTCTCTCATTCCTAACAGCAGAACAAGTCCACCTCACGGCCAGCCTGCAAAGGGCTTCAAGAACTTGGTGCCAAAGAAGCACGTGACCCCTCAGACCTGACTTTTGAGGTACAGAGTGCTGACCCCAAAGAGGAAGGCATGCTACGCCCCCGGAGGAGGTGAGAATTGATCCAAGGCTGGGCCCAGAGAGCACCCCAGAAGTCAGTGGCACCCCCCTGAGGTCCAGCCTCCAGCTGACTTTCGCCAGAAGCCAGATTAACTCCGAGTTAATCTGAGTTATATAACCGCCACTCCCCACTCCTGAGCTTCGTGACTCACCGCTTCTTGGAATTCCTGGAAGGGGTCTTAGAGAAAGCTGGCTGCCGGGCTCATGTACCGGAGCAGGAGCGAGCCCCCACTCCACCTCCCCCTCGGAGTCTGATTGGCATAGGAAGGAGAACCCTCTGGAGCCAGACTTCAAACACCGAAATCTAGATCAAGGATATATTTGGCTTTTCCAAGCTAATCTTTACATCAACTTGGTCTCTACTGGCTTGTAACCCTTTGAAGAAAACTTGGCAACTCCGTGTTGGAAGCAGATGACTCTTATGTAACCCGGGCAAGGAGCCCCTGTGCTCTGCTGGCTTCGTGGCCAGTGGGGCAGCAGACACGCCCAGCTTTGCATCTGTCCCCTTCCTCCAGACCCAGGTGTTCCCAGCTGTCACTGTCACACTTGCTCCCAGGACCTTGTGATCCTCCCACAAAAAGATGCCCACCAAGCCCAGAGCTAAGCGAGGATATGGAGCAGTGCTGCTTGTGGTGGGTCAGAGTGGGGCTGGGGTGGGAGGTGGGGGGTGATGAGGAAGCTGAGAGGCAGCGGCTCCCACTGCCACCTACTCTGAACACGTGGTGGGGGTGGAGGAGGCAGTCAGCTTCCTCCCCGGGGACCCAGAGACAGCCATCTCAGGGAGGCCTGGAGCTGTCTCAGCCACTGAGCCAAAGAACACCCAGCTGCCTTGTCCTGCTCCCTACAATCACACAGAAAGGAGCTGAGGATGAAAACAAACAAGAGGAAGCCAGGCTGGGGGAAGGGGCCCCAAACGCAGGGGGTCCTGAGGAGGAGGAAGAAATGCAACCTGTGCTGGGACCAATTTGAGCTGCCTCCTGAAACTGCCTTTTATTCACGCATTCCTCTCCCTCCTGAGCATGGCAACTACTGACAAGAGATGGATTCCAGTTGCAATCAATTAGAGACAGCAGCTGGAAGCTGGAGGGAGCCAGGACTCAGGAGCGCGATGCCTGGGGATGGAGCACAGAGCTCTGCCCTGAACCCAGCTTTGCAGACTCAGCTGCTGGGGGAAGTAAGAGGCAGGGTGCTTAGGGATCCCAGGCACCCACCGTTTCCCTAAGGTGAGGTCCAAGCATAAGCTGAGGACTAGAGCCTCTCCCCACTGCCCCCGGGAAACTAGGAGTGCCCACAAAAATAAAGAGAAAGAGAGCGAGAGCGAGTGAGCGAGTGAGAGAGAAAGAGAGAGTGAGAGAGAAATATCACATGCAATCTATTCACACCCACATTGGACCCCCAAAGAGCCGGAGCTTCCCAAGCAGAAAGGGTGACCCAAGGCACCTTAGGCTGTGAGATCATAACCTAGCAAGTGTCTGTTCACGAGCACATTCCTGACCAGTGTCACCTAGCAAATGCCTTTGGTCGGACACTGGGAAACCAGACAATAGCTGGACAAAGGCATGGGCGTCCGAGGCTGCAGGCTCTGAGGCCACCAGCCACTGGGCAGGCAAAGTCTTCGGTGGGGAAAACTCGAGCTGCTTGCTGAGTAAGCATCCCTTGCAAGATCCTCTGGAAGAACATCGATGTGTAAGCTCAAATGTAACTTGTCAGGCTGCTGGTCTCCTTCAAGAGTTACCTTTCTAAGCGCCGACAGAAAGCATCTTTGGAGCTTTTATCCCTCCACCACCGAAGGGGAAAAAAGGTATAGAAATAGCTCCTGTACCGCTCAATAAGCCTCAATCTTGTTTTCCTGTCTAAAGAGGAAAGGCTCACACACAGCTCAGTTCAAACACAGGAGCCGTAAAGCCAGCTGAGACATCGTCTGGGAGGCAGGAGCCGAGCAGCCCCTCAGGGAACGCCCAGTCTCCAGCCTGGCAGAGCAAGCTGGTATCTGTCACCTTGTCACCTCAGACCAGGCTCAGCCCGAGGATCAGAGGCAGCCTGTCTTGAGTAGTCTGGGAGCCCAGCAACAAGACGCTTGGCTCTCACCTAGTGAGCAGAACGGCCTGTAAGAAAGATGACGGCTTGCAAGCACATCTTCCTGGCAAAAGCACACCTCGATGCCCCGCCACTGCACACCCGGTACAATGTAAAACACAGCCTCCAGCACAGAACCTTCTGCTCCCAGAAACCAACATCACTGGACTGGACAGGGCTCTCTTGGCAGGTAAAAAGCCTGTCCTTCCTTGCAAGGAACAGCTACAGACATCCCTGATGCCAACATAATGAGTAAAAAAAAAAAAAAAAAAAGCCAAAGGTCAAATTTCAAATCCACCAAAAGCACTGTTTTTGAAAGCAAAGCACCAAAGAGAACCTACTTGCTGAGGTTTCAGAAGAACTGATTTAATAGCTTGGGAACTAACAAAGGGGTTTCTTAAAGTGCCCTTTCTTCTCAGCTTCCCTCTCCAATATCAAAATGCAATCATCTCTCCATCTAGCAAACTTAGCAATAAAAGCATGTTGATCCAAATAACTTGCCATCGATAATCAAGAGTTAAGACAGCAGTGCAGGAAACCCACAAGCTGCAAGGATCACCTACTGGGAGACAGGGCTGTGGGGGGATTGGAGGGTGGCTGGTCACTCACAGCGCCCCCACCTCCAGTCTGGCTGACACCTCCAACAAGTCCCAGTAGACCAAGCCTCACACTCACACGCAGGCCAAATCGGGTTCATAGCACTGTGCCTGAATCTCCCTTATCTCCCCAAGCCTAGACCTTATCTGGCCCGACCATAAGCTATTGATCCCCACGCAGCCCAGCCAATAACTAGCAGGATCCAATTCATTGTTAACCTCTTAATGGCCACGCAAGCAAACAAAACCTGAAAAGAAACACTGCTTTCCAGAAGAAAAGGCAAACAATAACACTTGATAATTAACAGTTTTAAATAGTGTTTACCCTTGGGGTGTTAAGTCGTCTCTGGCATCAAACAGAACTTGGAAGCACTTGGAGGTCCCTGTCCTCTTTTATTTCTCAAAATCAGGCCGCGCGCTCCATCCTCCCACAGCCCCACTCCAGGAGCTTTTTTATGAGTGGTGGGGGGCGCTAGGCAGCCTGTTCGCCTCCTTTCCAAACCACTGGTCCCTTTTCTCTCCAAAGCAGGAACGCAGCGCATCCCAGTGGACAGGCTCCAGAAGCGCACGCCGATTTCTCCGCCTCTGCCTGGATCTTGCCGTCCCAGTTCACCCCCAGGATCGACGCACCAGCTCCGAAGAGCCCCAGGGCAGGATGGTGACTGGTTAATAATATCTGCCCCGTGAAGGGGCAGCCTGTGCCATGGCTTTACCAGGCTGCAAAGGCAAAGGCTGACGAAGAAGGAGCGCCATGGAGGGCCAGGCAAAGTTTGTAGAGCTGGGTCATAAGGAGTCCGCTCACCTAGGGCTCTGCACCCCACCCGGGTCTCTCCAGATGGTCCTGGAATCCCAGGCACAGACTAGACAGGCGCTTTCGCTGAGGAGGATCTGCCCAAGAGCGACGTAGGGTGGGGGGGGGGCTGCCCAGACGAGCTCTCACAAGTTCAAGCGTCTCCTGCCTCAGCTGCCCGCCAGCTGTGCGCGCTGTAGGACCCAGAGGTCACTGACGAACAGCTGGGTGGGCAGCTGGGAGCCTGGAGGGCCCTGCTCAGCCCCAGAGTCCCTAGGAAGGGAAACTGCCTGCCGTGCGTCTGTCTGTGCTGCTTTTTCTCGAACTCCGCCCGCACAGCTCTCGCGGGCAGCTTCCTCAGGCAGCCCCGGCCTTCGCTAGGGTCCCAGAGTCCGCCGCGCCCAAAGATTCGTGCGGCTCGTCCCAGGCCCTCCCAGGGGAGGCGCGCTGGGGCGGGCGGCCAGGACACTGCGCTGCTGGCTCTGGGTGCCGCGGGCGCGCCCGGCAGACACCACTGCCCAAAGAGATGGGCGAGCTGGGCGGGCGCTGGCCGGCCCTGGTCTCAGGGAGTCTGGCTAGGTGGTCGCTCCCTGCGAGGCTGTGGAATCCAGGGTGCTAGCGGATGCCCTTACCTGTATTAGGCACCCCGCCTGCCGCTCACAAGGAGCGAGGAGGGAACCCTTTCTCTCCAACGTTGAGAGAAAGGCGCCGCTCCAGCTAGCCCAGCACAAGCACACGCGCCCACACGCACCCTGCTTCCAGCGCCTGGATGCTCACCTGAGTCCTAAAAGCTGTTGAATCCACATGGTCACGTTTCGCGGAGCAGAGCCTCAGACCTTGCTCGCCCCGGCCATCTGCGCGGCGCCCGCGCCCGTTCGCGTCCGTCCCGCGGCGCCGGTCTCAGGCTCTTGGGCCGCCGCTGCCCGCC